GCCTTCTGAGCCAGCAGTTTCAACGACCAACTTGTCGGCGCAGAGCACCAAACCGGTATGGTGTGTGGGTCACTTAGCTCGATTTATCTACTATGGACAATTCCAAGTAGGACTGAAGATTCAGTTTGAGTTTTAAATCATTTCATTCTCCTACAGTCTTAGCTACAACGGTTTAAGAGGGCTGTATCTTTTTTTTAATTGTTTGAGTGTTGATATAAGAAAAAAAAAGTAACTGAAAAACCTAAGGGGCTATCTACATGCACTTGTCCATTTGTATTTGTTACTTCCTAGATGGTAGGATAAGTTAGTTATTCCCAGTCACCATGTAATAGTTACAATTGTGTAATTTCTTTCCTACTTTACGGCACTTGAAATGCTTTATTTTGTACATGTATGTACACCGTAGTTGAGCTAATGTTTTCTTTGTCACTGAGGTGCACTAGTTAAAACTATGCCCACCTTATATGCAGTAATGGCTAACACATTTATCTCCCCTTACGTCTCCCAACCACGGTCACGGGACCAACGGTGAGGAATGGTTAACAATGGGGTGGCTGTAGTTTAGGAGGTCGAGCAGGTCATTGGTGTTACGACCCCTGTCTGCATGTCAGATATCCTTAAGCAAGATGCTAACGCCAAGTGTCTCTCTGATGCATCCATCAGAATGTGAATGTTAGATAGAAAGCATGGAAAAGGTGCTTGTATGAAGAATCCATTTACCAAAGAGAAAGCCTTCTTCAGACAAAACTGGCTTCAGTTCATTGTTGGCTCTGGAGGTGTCACAGATTCATGCACCGTCTCTGTGGAACGGAGTACAACTGCTGCATGCAATCTGCTTAGCCACCAGCAGATGGCGCTACTTCTCCATCCTCAAACACAGACTTATCTTCTCTCATTGAGCAGGTTGTGCTGCTGATTTGTTTCCCGGGCTGCTTGAACCTCTGGTCACCTCGTCAGTGTCTCTCTAACAAAACAAGAATAAAAACAAAAACTAACCAAAAACCAAGATATCTGAAGCTCTGTGGTGAGAAACCCTGTGTTTCAAGTTAGAGTTCCTTATGTGGTGTGCATCAGAGAAGAGGATGACCTAAAGACTGTGTCTAACACTCCTCCTAAGCATTTTAGCACCTTGTTGGTGACACCTCTGCTCTGTTTCTGGCTTTTGTTAATAAAATCATCAGAAAGTTCCTGAACCACTCCATCTTTGTCCACCTCAGTCACATCCTGATTTCCCTCCAGATCCTCTCTGATCCCGAGCAGCATGAGTACTCCAGCCTACATTGGCTACAGCTGCACTCACTGCTAATTTACCTCTGTTGTTCCAAAGCAGGGGGTCTCAAACAAAAATTAGCTGTGGGCTCTGCTGGCACTGTTATCTCATGTGAGGACCACTTTAGTGTTCAAGCAGTAGGAAAAAAAAACAAACAAGAAAACACCCACAAATATTTCAGAAAATGTAGTGTTTTTTTTAAATAAAATTTCAAATATTGTATAACATGAAAAAAGTTCAAATCTGAACTCAATTTTTTTTTCCTCCGTCTTAACTGAAGCCTTTCATTGAACTACCAAATAAACACATGGGCCATCTCTGTCCACACACGTGGCAGCACTGCTATGGGCAGTAGCGGTTTTAGATACGGGCGGCACGGGCGGTTGCCCGGGGCGGCATCGTGGTGGGGGCGGCATCACGGCTCGTTCTCATGCTGCCCCAACATCATGCCAGCGCATATTGGGAATGGCAT